ACACTGCAATCCCAAACAAGAGAAATTAAAATAAATCACTTCATCCAGAAGCCAAACAAACAATTACATGGAGGAACCAGCCAAAAAGGAAACCAAACAGCTTCGTTTGCCAGCCCTTATTAACAGCAAAAATAACACTTTATTTCGGATTCTGAGAGCTCCTTGTTATCACCTGGAAAACAAAACCAAGTCTCCAAGTTTACAAATGAAAAGTGTCACAGCAGCAGAGCGACATGCCAGGAGGAGATGAATTATCAGAGGTTGTCAGCACCAATTCCCAGATCCTAATAATCTCCAGGAGGCTGTGGGTGCCCAGCCCTCAGGAAATAAGAATTATTAAGGACTACTTTTATTCCAAAGCCGTGATAAAACCCACATAAAACTCTTGTGGAAAGCACACGTTCATTTATATTGAAAAAGACTTTTAGGATCATGGTTAACCCAGCACTGCCACCTCTAAACCACATCACGAGTGCTCCATCTACACATCCTGGAAATACACCCAGGCATGGAGCAGGAAGGATCTGGAGCAAATTTCAGAGCCATGCTAAGCTTTTTTGATCATTCCATTTTAAAAGACCCCAACAAAACCAAAACAAACCATACAGAACACCCCACAATAGGACCCAACAGCAAGGCCAGCTCTGATTTATGAATATTTTTGTCAGCTCTGTATTCCAGACCAGCAAGAACTACCTGAAATCCAGAGGTGTCTCTTTCAGATGGCAGTGGAAGCCCAGCTAGGTGCTGTATAAAAACCATCACAGCCTGCACCCAACAGCTCCAACCCACTGAAAAATCCCTCTGGGAGACTCTTTGTGCACTCCAGTACAAAAGGGAGGCACCAAATGCTCTTAAGTGCTCAGTCATGAGCTACCCGTGGCAGCCTGGCTGTTTTAGTGCAATTGTGAGCAACAAATCTCACTGCTTAATATGCAAATTCCCCTGGTCAGTCTTGCAGAGAAGCACCATGAAAGCAGTTATTGTGACTTCCAATTAGCCATGTGATACGCAGCCCTGCACAGCACTCAAGGAAAATATTTAAGGAACTGTTGTCCAGTTGCTGAGAGCAGAGGTGGAGGACAATATTTGCTTTTCTCTGAGTTTATGAAGCTCCAGCGCTGCATCAAACTCCACGGGAGGAGTTGATAGTTTGAATAACCTCCCATGCTGGCAGCTCTGTTTCCACTTGGCCCTGTTCTGGCTGCTGGGTGATGGGGGCAGCAGGAAAGAAGACAAATTTCAAACGGAATCAGCATCTTTGCTCCCAAGGAAGGGCGATAAGAACTGCAGCAGGCAGGCGAGCATCGTGTCACGGAGAGCTCAGCGGCAATCAGACAGCTGTAGCCAAAAGCCTTAATCTGGGATGACTTGTGCTTCCAGCCCCTGTGCTCCCTGCTTTTCCCTCATTCCACACCAGGAACTGGCTCACTGAACTTCACCAGGTTGGACAAAGTGATATGCAACTCCTGAGTGGGGTGAGAGTTTGGCATGAGAGAATGAACAGGTTCCTCCTTCTCGCTGCTCCCCTCGGGAAAGAGAAATTGAGGAAAGACCTGCCCATGGGGATGGGAGCTGGCACAGCTCTCCTGGGTTTGCTCAACACCTGATGTACAGACACAAGGGCAGAGGTTTCCAGCCCAAATTCCAAGCCCAAAGCTCTTCCAAAAACACAGGTGAGGAGCTGGCAGCCTGGGAAGTGGCTGCAGAACAGTTATTTCTCCCCTGGTCTCACTGTCCTGCAGGAACTCGGGCACCCCTGGAACAGATGTAGTGCTGGGCTCCCAAAACCTTGAACCATCAGGTGGGAGACAGCTGAGCTAAAGGGATGAGCTGGGGAAAACCTGTCTATAAACCAGTTAATGATGTTCTTTAAGGACTCCCCAGTAAATCCACCCGACATAGTTTGGTTCTGCTGGGCGACAACACACCGAGCATCAAGACAGGAACTTCTCCTGTCTGTGCCAAACAATGTCCTGGTGAAATGAAAACTTGCTAAAAAGAGCAGTGCTAATGAAACAGCTGGTACCAATCTGCAAAGCCCATCTCATTTCCAGCCTGATGGGCAGAGCAGCATCTGTTAAATGCTTGGTGAGGAACAGCCTCCTCCTGCTCCGGTCACTGGGCAATAAGCTGGGCTTTGATTAGCTCCATCTCACGCTTGCACACACCTGAGGATCCACAGCAGCTCTCCTGACACACACACACAGGCATCCTGACCTTGAAAAATGCCCAGAGTTAAGAGACAAAGGAAGCACACGTGGCCAGGACATGCCGTCAGCTCTGCCAAGCTGCACACGAGTAACGGGAAGCGCCGGCCGTGGACAAAAACACTGAGGAGAATACAGGGATGTGACAAATCCTCCTCTCGACTCCAATAACACAATTGAGCACGATTCTGCCACTCCCCACTGCCCTGGAATAAATTGAAACTGAGATGAATCAGACTTGAGAGCCGGCTCCCACTTTCACCCAGCACTGCTGTCTAATCAAGCTCTCGAGCGCTCGCAATTCTCCGGGAAACTTTTCCATTCTGGGGAAAAGACAAAGCCTCTCCAAAATAAGTCCATCACTGGCAAGTAAGAATCATCATGTTCCAAAACACCTTCCTAGGATTTCGAAATGTTCTGGCCCTGCTCACCGACAGCAATCTGAAAGAGAATGTAGAGGGTTAGGTCACAACCCCGGAGCTGAGAGAAACGAGCCTCACTTGGGGAACAGGAAAAAGTCATCTCTCTGCACAGGTGTAAACTCCAAGTCATGTTCACTTGTGCTTCAGCTGCTTCATTAGCTGATGCCTCCAGACAGAAACTCCCTGGAGAGAGCAAGTCAGGTTTCACACTGGGTGAGGGCACACTGGCAGGATTTGTAAGCTCCAAATCAGCGCAGGCTGGACTTTGACATCTGGGGAGTCGCGTTTAGAGAAGAGACTCGGAGCTTCTTCCAGCCTAACCTACCCCCCCTTTCCTCCTTGTGGAGAGGCAGGAACAGATCTGTAGCATTACACAACAGACTATTGCACACTGGAGCTGATTGTTTAAGACAGTCCTAAGAAGCTCATAATTCAAGTGAAATTTCAGCGCTTCTCACTTCAACGAGACAACCTTAAGGAACATTACCCTGAGAGCATGAATCAACACGAGCCAGCTGACATGAATTTCACATCTCTTACATCTCGAAAGGCCAGCTGCTGTTGTAATGCACCAGGCACAATGGGTTGTTTAACCCCAGAGCAGCAGTGCCATGCCCTGGGAGCACCAGGCAGGGTCACAAAGCCTGGATGGAGCCTGCCCACCTCACACGCTGCTCTGGGCCGTGGGATCTGTTTTACAATATCACCCAAACCCCCATTGTGTTCTTCTCCCATCTCATTCATTCCATAGCACAGGTGAGATAAGAGCAAGGAAATTAAACCGAGCCTATTTCTGTGGCATGATCTCACCTCATAACGCCAAAGCACATTTCAGGACAGGCACTGGTGGAGCTTTTAATGCTATTTTTTTTTGTGATTCCTGCTGTTCTTTTTCTTTGACTGGTCCATTCTGCTTAGCACTCCTGCAGGTTTTTACTGGTTGGTAAAGCTGCTTAGTACAGATGCATTTTAGGTAATCCACGTCTTCTCTTTTTACTAATAGAGTAAGGAATATTCATGCTACTCAAAGCTATAAAACTCCCTTTAGTGACACTGATGTGATTAAATCCACAGGAGGCTGTGGAGCCTCCCTCTCTGGAGGCATTCCAGATCCACCTGGATGTGTCCCTGTGTCACCTGCTCTGGATGACCCTGCCTTACCAGGGGGGTTGGACTGGATGATCTCCAGAGGTCACTGCCACCCCCAACTACTCAGGGATTCTGTGAAATCCCACATAGCTCTCAGCAGCTGGAATTCTGCTATTTCCACGAACTCTGTCTGGCATTAATCAGCAGATGGTTGGTTCAGATACAACTCCAAGAGCTGCATATTTTTACATTACGGAATGACAGCAAAGTCACTGATAGGAAGAACACTCATCAGCTGGGCCATCCAAAATAAAACCAGACTGATAAATAACATTCTGTAAGTCCCAGGGGAAAACACAGACCTGGATCAGCAATTCTGCTCCTGAAATCTGTGGACCCTGCATGTGTGAGGACTACTTATAAGTCAAGCGTCCTGTTGGCAGGCTGACTTTAAATGACTATAAAACACACACAGCTCAGCTGGAGAACATCAGGGGTCCGCAAACCTGAGAGCATGGGAAAAGCAAGCGTTCAGGCATTTAGCTGGAGAGAAACACGACGGTAAAAGGCTGCTGACACTGCAGCAGGGCTGGCACAAGGCTTTGCTCCCCAAACGAGCGACAGAGACCACGCTGCTCCAGCATCTCCAGCCGCCGGGAATGGCTGGAGCTGGAGCAAAGCACCTCTCTCGGCTGAAAAATAAACCCCGGCCCCGCAGCAGTGCCAAGACCTGAGCGAGCTGAGGAATCATCTTCCTCACACCACAAGGAGCGGAGCCCGAGGAAAACAAACTTCGGGCAGGCCCTTTCCCCAGCCTGGCTTTATTTTAGCAGCGGCCGCGTCTCTGAGCCCCCCCAGACAGACCCGACACCGCTCCCCGGTACTGCCCGGCGACGGAACCCCGGCAGAACCGACGGCAGAACCCCGGGCAGAACCGACAGCAGAACCCCCGGCACAATCCCGGGCACAACCGACAGCAGAACCCCCGGCAGAGCTCCGGGCAGAGCCCCGGGCAGAGCCCTCAGCTCGCCGGGGCCGCGGTGCCGGGCCGGGGGCTGTGTCCGTGGGGCAGCGCCCGCCGAGCGCCGCCGGCCCCGGCAAAGTTCGGGCGAATCCGCGGGAGAAGCCGGGGGCGAAGGCCGAGGACGATCCGGGGGATGATCGGGGGATGATCCGGGGCAGCAGCCGGACGCGGCTCCCCCGCCCGCCGCAGGCCCCGGCCCGCAGCGCCCGCCCCGGGGTCCCCCCGCGGCGCCCCCGGCCCGGTACCGGCGCTCACCTCCGGTGCCGTCCGAGTTCTCGTTGAGGCTGCCCGAGGAGTCGTGGTGGGAGCCCACACACCCGCCCATGGGGCCCGCAGACCCGCCGCCGAGCCGCCCCCCGCCCCCCTCCCCTGCACCGAGCTCCGCCGCCGGCCGGGCAGGCGCGATGGCTCCGGAGCCGCCTCCCCGCTCCGCAACACCGCCCCCGGGGCGCGGCCTCGGCCCGGCACCGCCCGGGACCGGCACCGGCACCGCCTCCGCTTGGGACCGGCACCGGCACCGCCTCCGCTTGGGACCGCCCGGACCCGGCGCCGGCACCGCCCGGGACCGGCACTGCCTCCGCCTGGGACCGGCAGCAGCACCGCACCGATACCGGCACCGCCTGCGGCCCGCGGGACCGCCCCGGCACCGCCACAGGGACCGGCACCGATACCGGCACCGGGTCTGGGACCGCCCCAACATCGACACCAACACCGGGACCGCCTGCGGCCCGCGGGACCGTCCCGGCACCGATACCGCCACAGGGACCGGCACAGGGACCGGCACAGGGACCGGCACAGGGACCGCCTCTGGTGCTCTCCCGACACCGACACCCAGGACCGGGACCACCCCAGCACCGACACCGGGATGCGGAGCCACCCCCGCGGGTGCCGGGCTGTGTTTATTATTTTATATTATATTATTTTATATTATTATTATATTTTGTTTATTACCGTGCAGCCCGCGGCTCCCCCGTGCTCTGCTGTGCTCTGCCCCATCCCCGAGGCGCTCCAGGATGGAGCTCCGAGCATCCCGGCCCAGGGAAAGATGTCCCTTCCCATGGAATAAGAGGATCCATCCCGACCCAAACCGTTCTGTGATTCCACAATTTGTCTCTGCGCTCAAAGAGAAAATCCAGACTCGGATAAATCCCTGCCCTGCTACCCAGCCACCCACCCCTGTGTTATCACACTGCCACTTTGAAATAAAAGCTAAACAAACTCGGTGCTTTTTGGTCAATCTGACCAAGCAGGCTCCGGTTCTCTGAGAAGAAAAGTTTGACTTTTGTGCTCTTAATGCCCAGCTGGGTTATCTCATTTCGGCAGCAATCCCACCCTGGGACTGGGGAGTTCCAGTTCCTCCACTATCAGATGCACTGGAGCGCCTTGGAATAATCAGCAATAAGTCAGAACGCTGAAAAATGGGAGCAGACAGTGAGAAAATAAAGCCTGGTAACAGACTGTGCTCTGGGTTCCCCACACGCTCTGCTATACATGGCAGCTTCATCTTCTTGTACACAGAGCAGCACAAAACAAAACTCAAGCTGAGCATATTTTTCCTCCATAAAGATGACATTGCAAGTGTGTTTTTTTAAGAATGAAAATAGCATAGCTGTTTGTAGAGTTTCTAGTCAACACAGTGAAAAGAAGTGATGGACAAAGTTGTTTTTCTGCCATTAATTTCCCTACATAATCCTCATACCAAAAGCCCAGCCAGCCTTTGGGAAGGCTCTTGTGTTGATAATTAAAGTCCCAAACGTATGAGATAAGCTGAGTGCCAAATGCCAAGCACTTTGTCATCTGAGAACAAAAAGGCACAGAGCTCATCTGCTTTATTGAGTCCAAAGGGGAAGGTCAGGCCTGGTAAGAAACCTAAAGAACAATTATTAGAGTCTGAGCACATGGCCACTAATTACAACAAAAGCAAGAACTCCTCGTCTGTGAAGACATTTAAACCAGATCAAGGAAGCACACAGAGCTCAGTTCTTTTCAGATTTAATCTGAGGGCCACGTGGGAGTTTGCCCATATATACACATCCTATAATCAAAGATATTGCAGAATGACAAAATCAGTTGGGTTGGAAGAGAGCTCCAAGACCGTGGAGCGCCGCCTGTGCCTTGTCCCCAGCCCAGAGTTGGGCAGGGATGGGCACTCCAAACCTCCCTAAGCATCCCATTCCAAGGCTGGGGGGAGGAATTGAATGTTATTTGTTCAAAACCATAAGAAATTTGGAAGACGGTTGCAAATTTTTCTAGAAGTAGGTGTTGATGTATTTTATCCTCAGAGTAATGACTCTGCAAGGAAATAATGGATTTGGGGAGGCACTTGGGATGCAAACTGGGAGGGATTCTGGATATCTGCTGCCCAGTGAGATCCCCAAACTGGTGGGAATCCAATGTGACTGTGTTCCATAACAGGGTGGCTGCAGCACTGGGGGCTGGCGTGGGAAAGTCTGTCCCCAGCAGCCAGCAGCCTGCTCGTGGAGCCTTGGAAAAACACACCAGAGCTTGTTATTCTGCCTGTTTGGGAGTGAATTCTTTCCCTGGATACCTCGTGCTCTCACACAGAGTATGGAGCACATAAACGCCTGTTGGTGTGCACAGAACCACTCAGGATGGGCCAAAGTGAATTTTTACAGCCTGAGCCCATGGATCAGGATGTACTTGCAATGTAGTAATAAAGTACTGAAGAAAAAACAAACCTTTTTTTTAATATAAATAGTTATAAAAGATATAAAGATACGTGTTTACAAATATATAAATATGTATACAAATATAGAGATACATAAAAATATATATTATATATTATATACTATATCCTATATAGCATATAGAGTATATAGTATATAATATATATTATATACAACATACTATGCAGTATATACTACATAATATAAATATTCTTATGAATATATTTATATATTTATATATATAAATATAAACCTATAAATATATGTTTATATATTTATATATAAATATATATTTATATATTTTATATACTTATTTTTATATTTTATATATTTTATATTATATATTTTATATAAAAATATAAAAATACAAAAATATAAAAATATATTTTATATAAAATATACATATACAAATATATAAATATATAAATATATATATAATCTATATAAATATATAAATATCTAATACACATGTTTATAACATATAAAACGTTTTTAATATAAACATATATATAAAATATATAAATATATTTTGGATTGTAAATGGATTCTTTATTTTGAAGGTTATTTCTCCTCAAAATAAGTTTCCCTGAGCTTTGCAATCAGTTTCTGCAGCTCAATCTCAGCTCTGCTCCAGCATCTACTGTGCCCTTGGACAAGTCAGTAAAAGTCAGTGTTTGTCTGCACATCTCAACATCAACAATTCATTAATTCTTGCTCTTTATCACTTGCTAACTGCCTGCAGTGCATGGGGTGTAAAACATCGAACACCAAAAGTGACTTTTCACAATTCAAGGCTGTAGTGGGTTGGCTGCTCCGTGCAGGTCCCACTGCCCGAGGTGGTTGGGATTGTTTGGGGGTCACAAACCCCACAGTTGGCACGAATCCTGCTGGGCTGTGATGGCTTGGGAGCACCAGAGGGGTTTGTGGTGTGTAAAAGACCCTGGGGAGGTCTCTGTGTGTTGGAGTGACTCCAGAGGAGGCTCCAGGATGAGCAGAGGGATGGAGCAGCTCTGCTGGGAGGAAAGGCTGGCAGAGCTGGGATTGTTCAGCCTGGAGAGGAGAAGCTTTGGGGTGACACAATTGTGGCTTCCAGGGCCTGAAGGAGCTGCAGGAAGATGGAGACTTTACAAGGGATGGAGTGACAGAGGGCAGGGTTAGATGGGATACTGGGAAGGAATTGTTCCCTGTGAGGCCCTGGCACGGGCGCCCAGAGAAGCTGTGGCTGTCCCTGGATCCCTGGAAGTGCCCAAGGCCAGCTTGGACAGGGCTTGGAGCAGCCTGGGAGAGTGGAAGGTGCCCCTGCCCATGGCAAAGGGATTGGAACTGGGTGATCTTTAAAGTCCCTTCCAACCCAGGCCACTCCACGGCTCTGTGATTGTCAGGTTATTCCCTATACAATCCTATATAATCAAATATTTTCTGCACTTTGCCAGTTTTTCTCTCCAGCTGGGCTCTCACTGTTTGCTCGCAGTCAGTGGTGGTGGGTTTTGCCATCACATGATGATCCAGAGTGATAAATCCCTGTTCTCTGATGATTCAGCTCTGTGTGGGAACAAGGATGAGATGCTGACAAATTGCATCAGCACTGAAACTTCTTTCTCTGGCATCCACATTTCGATTTTTAGCAGCGCTGCCCAGGACAGAACTATCAAAGTCTTCACATTGTAAATGAAAATCTCCCCAGATTTCTGCCATCCTGCTTTTGACAGATGGGAAAGGGAGACACTGCTGATGAGGTTATCAACCAAAGGTCCCACAGGAAGCAGGAGCAGGAAAGAACCATGGAATCCAACTGCTCATTTTCCTCCTCAGAGAGTCTGAAGAGATGCAGCAAGTTGCTATTTTCAGAATTACTTCCCCGTGGCTCTTCCTGAAAGCTGCTGAGGCTGTAGCCTCAATTTCACAGGCTGGAGCTTTCCCTGCACAGCTCTTCTGTTTAGATGTGGTTTTTAGGAATGCTGGCTCCCATTCCGAACTTCCCACCAGCAAATTTTAGGCTGATTCCAATCCCATATAATCCATCCCTTCCCAAAGTGGCTGGTGGCAATCTCCAGCACCCAGAGGCAGCAGAGCTGTATCAAAATGATGTGAAAGCAGGCAGGGTTTGTTTTCCTGGAATGACCGAGGGAAAGAGAAAGGCACAGAGGAATTCCTGCGGCTGAGGAACCCCAGCAGCCACCAGGACATCCCGAGCTGGCCAGGAATGAACAGAGTGAGGGCTGTGTGTGTCCTCCAGCACCTCCCAGGAGCACAAACCCCACTCCTAAAGCCTTGGCACACACCTCTGCTGCAGGAAATGCCAGGATGGGAAGCTGCAGCTCCTGAGGGAATTTCCATCCTTGGATATTGCTGGGAAGAGCAATGTTGTATTTCCTGATCTCTGCAAAGCCCCACACCTGCTCCTGGGGACTGCCTGGGGTTCTTTTATCTCTCTCTGTTAATAACAGAAGGAAAAGTCACGATTCCCCTTACTTTAAATGTTTCTGCAAAGCTCTGAAGTTTTGATTTCAATTGCTGGAGAAAAGGGGTCACTGAAAAGGCTAAAAATCACTTTTTAATGTGCATTAGCGTTAGCAGTGATGGTAAGAATCCCTGGAAGTGATGGATTCCACTGCAAGAACCAAACTGGATGGGGCTTGGA